ATATATATATATATATATATATATATATATATATATATATATATATATATATATATATATATATATATATATATACAGGGTATTGAAAAACAACATAGCACAAATTTATCTACGTGTTCCTCAGACAATTCTAAGAACAAAAGTTTACATGTGTCCAAAACGGCTTAGTTTTTGAGGTAGAGAACATTGAAAATTGCAATTTTTTTTTTGTAACGATAATAACTTGGAAACTAACGAAAATAATTAAATAAAATTTGGCACATGTCTGTGCTTAAGTAAACCCTTTCTAAAAATGCCAAAAAAGTTTTTAAGTGAAAACTAAGGTAATAAGGGGGAAATAAGGATGATAAGAAAAGCATGAGGTAGTTTTAACCCTATCTTTGTGAAAAGAAAAAAAATTCTGTTTGAATACCAGATTTTAAAAATTCAATGTTTTTAAGACAATTTATTATTTTTATTATTTATTATTATTATTATATTATTAAAAAAAATTATATCTCAAAAATTAAACCGTTTCGGATACATGTTTATATGAACTTTTGTTCTTAGAATTGTCTGAGGAACACGTATATAAATTTGTGCCATGTTGTTTTTCAACACTCTGTATATATTATTATAAATGTAGTATCGAATATAAGTATTTCTTAATTATTAGATAATTTTTCTTCCAGTATACTGAGAGGTAATTTTTCTTTCAGTATACTGAGAAGCGCGGGGTAAAATTGCAAAAAGAGAATTTTTATTTTTGAGATAATTCAATTTGTCTAATTATCTACGATCTCATATTAATTTTCTAAATTTTTATCACCGTAACATATCCAATTTACACAAAAACTCAAATTTTCTTCAAATTTAATTTAATACTTTCTCTTTCCGTGCATAAGAAATAAGAGAGATATCTAAAGTCCTATGTGAGACTCTGTTTATCTTACTAGCGTGTCCGCACGCTACAAGATGGATTGAACCTAAAGTACAGTGGATATGTAAATTTTTCTCTTCTGAGAGAGAGCTGAAAGTATTCGACATATTTGAAGTATATCGCAGACATCTCGGCCACTCTCATCTACTTGAATATGTAACATTTGTCGATGCCTCGACATGGATACAGTTCTGTTTGTAAATATATACTTGCTTTCATCGGCCGGACGTGTCGCGACACATATCGTTAGCCGCGCGTTTCATCATTCTGTCTTTACTTGGCAGAATACAAATCTCCCTCGCCGGGATATCGCAGAAATGCGATTTGAAGAATACAGAGAGAACAGTAAAGAATAAATCACTTATGGAAACAGCACGCGAGAATGGCAACGGCAACCCTATCGACAAGTTAAGCTCCGCTAATGCGCGATACAAACGGAGCGAATAGACGATACGATTTTTTTCAATTTTAAATAAACTCAACTTTGACACAAAATCATCTTAATTTCTCTATAAATTGTTCTCTAAAAATACTCAGATAATATTCAAGATCAGAGAAAGAAATGTAACCACACATACATAGAGAAACAATTACTATAAGTTGTGGCCAAGAAAACCAATTTTTTATTCATTTCCACTATAATGTGAATGGTAATAATCTTATATGCATGTCATTACCATTTTCGTGTTAGAATAATTAAAGAAATATAGTTGATGTAAAAAATAACTACAACTTTAGTTAAATCTCAACCATTTTCTCTCTCAGAGTGCACAAATAAAGTGGTCGTCAAATTCTCGCCGATTTAAACACGACATCAATCCCGCCGAAGAATCTAAATGGTGTCAAAACAATCGGTTCGCCGCCAATTGACCTTCAACGAAAATCATCTTCCAATTCAAGGGCCGAAGTTTCGATCCACGTCACCCTCGTCACGGACCCACCAGCAGCCAGTTATCGCAACGCGAAAGCTCTCTTGGATCAATCATCAGCGATCCCCTTATATCCCCTTATATATCCTCGCAGAACGGCTTTCTTTCCCTTGCCGCCCACGCTCTGGATATTCCATTTACCTTTTGTACAAGCCTCCCACTCGTGGCGTCCGGCCAGTTTGAACATTTCTCCCGCGTTATTTATTATCGGGTTAGAGCTCGCTCTCTTCTCGTCCTCGTCGTCGCCGTCGTCGTTGTTCCTCGTTCGCGCGTTCACCCACGTTCACCAGTTACTCCCGTGTACGTCACTGCTACACCGTGGGCTCCGGAGACCTCGTGTCACACTGTCTTTCCTCAAGCGAGCACGCGCTAGCACGACGCACTCACGTACATGCACTCACACACACACACACACACGCACGCACATACGCGCGACGACGCGATATTCCGCGACCGCCCGGTACATATCACACGAGCCCTGCCGAGGGAACGACGCACCACGGCTTTCTAACCGTGCGAGGATTACCAGCCATCTAGAAGAATACGGATCTTAATTGCGGAATCACCTTTCGTGTAATCGCTTAGTCCCGCGATCACTTAGCCGTACGCATTTTGCCCGCGCCTCTTGTGATGGTGTCAATGAGAACGCGTGATCGTGGCAGAACAGTTCCCGGCTAACGGGAACTGTTGGGAACGAAAACAGACGGGAGAGAACGGGGAACGATCCGACGAATTGGAAAAATGTACTGTAGGATTTTTTGTCACTCAGAAATAGATCGATATTTCGCGGTAACTCACTATCCTCTCGTTTCACACGCGCTACTCATATTCCAGGAAGTGGAATGTGTGCTACTAAAACACCTTGCTGCGTTTCTAGCGAAATCTGTTATGTTTTTAGCGAAGATTCTATTATTTTCTTTAGTAAGACGGACTTACTGACAGTCTGTTTCACTGAATACATGACAAAAATGAAAAGAGCATATATGAAAAAGAAAAACTACAATATTCTCTCCGCGTATGGACGTCTGAAACGGTTGTTAAAGTTGCAGCAATAATCGTCGAGGTGAACGAACCGGAGAGAAAGAGAGAGAGAGAGAATCAGCGATGTCATTGGAAGCGCGAACATCTGTGCGATTCTGCGCTGGATCGTTTTGCTCAGAAAATCCCATCTATCGCCGGTCGTGCGCGGCGATTTGCGGGGAGCACTCGTATTAGAAATTAATCTGCCTCGTTGCGCACGATCGCGCATTGCTAATTCAATTAAGCATATCGTTCAATAATATAATGCGGAAATTCCCGTTACCTCCGAATTATGTGTCTCTGTGCTCAAAAATATCAATAATCAAACTGATTGTTGCGTAATCTGCGTGCGAATTGTGCGCTCGCGTCAGGGAGCGGAAATATTCGGTGGCGCGTCGATAGCCGATGCTCGTAATCGATAATGTAAAAATATCGGCGCCTTCGGGCCTCTCTTGGATAGTGATGGTTCAAAGGAACTGACGCTGGCCACTTTTGCGCAGTATCGCCGCGCTTCTAAGCAATTCTAATCGTAACAACCGCGCGCACGCCGGTCATCTGGTGCTCGTCCGTTGCACCGTGTGCGCAGTACATGCACCGGCTGAGAATTAATAAATACGGGGGAAGGAAGACAGACTACAGTTAGCTCCGTCTGTATAACACGAGGTTCACGCTCTCTCTCTCTCTCTTTCTTTCTTGTTCGCTCTCTCTTTCTCTCTCTCTCTCTCTCTCTCTCTCTCTCTCTCTCTCTCTCTCTCTGAGGAGAGACGTTCCAACACTGTTTTACGGCTCCCGTTACCCCCTCCGACCCCCTGGAGCGCGACGGCAGAAACTCGATCGGGGGGTAAACGAACGTCTCTCGAGACGAGGAACTGGAACGTCGCCTTCGGAGAAGCGAGTTCCCAGATCGCGTCGATCTCGATTCCGCGTACGCTTCTCGATTTACGATCGATCGGCCGCATTTCCGCGAGGGTAACTGTCGTCGCTGACTTCCGGCGGAGCGAGCGCCGAGAGAGCGCACGCAAGAGAACGAGAAACGATTTGTCGCGCGTCAATATTTGTACCATGTCTCCGCTGAATACGCTTGGGAAATAAATTACGTCTGGCCGCGGTCGTTGTTAAACCGGATAGTAGATCGAGCCGCGGGGCCATGTGCCGTGTGACGAAACGCCAAAGAGGGTGTTTTGTTTCTCGTTCTCGATCGCGCCGAGCCGTAGATAAATTGCGGGCGCCTGAAATATCTCATTGAGAAAAAAGAGGCGCAAAAAAAGGAAAAAAGAGAGGGGAATGTTCGCGACCGTAACGCGAGTCGCTCGATGGAACGAACGAACGAACGAGAGTGGCACCGATAAAACGACGGTCGACCGGTATTAACGAGCACAGCCCGGGAGAGGGAAGGAGACTGAGAGAAAGAGAGACCACGTTTATCGTTTATGTCCGGTGAAAGAACTCTGTTGATACAACCGTATAGTTCTGCTTAAGTGATTGTTATCGGAGCTTAACACGCGTATATCTGCTCTCCGCGAGAGCATGTCGCGCACACTGCCGCACTCGATAATGTCGCGACTATTTTTACATCGCCTCCTTCGCGCGCGCACCCAACAGTCCCCGCCACCTCGACCTGGCATAATCAGTTAGATCATTGGAGTTACGCGATTGAATATTTATGAGAACGCGCGACCGTCCGTCGGAGAATTGATAATACTGTCCCGGTAGAGTCCCCGGTGAACAATGAAACGCGTTTGAACTTTCGTCCATTGAATGACCAGTCGATCGTGGAGTATCACCGTGCCTGCCCGCGTATCATCGACTGAAGCGAATACAACGATCGAGTTGACAATGGTCGTGAAAACACTCGAGAGAACCGAAGGTCGTGCGCGAGCGCGATCAATCGCGCGCCGCGATGAAACATGCGAAAGTGAAAACTTGGTTGCGAATCCCGCGAAATTTTTGCTGTTTCTTTCCGGCGCGGAAAGATGCGCGATCAGACGAGTTTCACCCATGGATATAGTATACATGGACTCCGAACGCCCTTTGTTCTAATTGTCGTCTAATTGAGTGAAGCCAACATCTAGAAAGAGAGCGAGATTAGAGAGGCTTTAATTTTCGCCCTATTTTGTTACTTTTTTGTTGCGCGTGCATCCATTTCTCGTTTCTATAATATTATAGAGCGCACCCTGATTGGGCTGGCAAACAAAAGTCTTACTTAAATCTTATTTTGTCTGTGCAGAAAGAGACAGAGAACAGAGGGGCTGTACATTTTGGTTTCACTTTTCTGATTGTTTGATTGTCTATGTAAAAAGTGGTTATAAAGTTACTTCCCTACTTTAAAATGCCATAACTATAAAATTGCTCGTCCAATTCCAATAACACTTGTCATGGATATTCAGGGCACTAATAAGTTTTTGTTAGAAATTATAAAAAAGAATTTTGAGAACTTTCAAAAAACGACATTTTTTAGCTATAATTATAATTTCTTATTTGGTTTTTATAAAAATTTTTGTTTTTTTTTAAATTTTTTGAGGAAATAAATGATTAACAATGAAAGGATTCGATTAGAGAAGCTATTCGTGGGATAACACCTGAAATGCTCGAAAACGCCGTTTACAATTCCACATCTACAGGAAATCGAAGAGAATAATGGACAACACATTGAACAATTACATTAAAATTACTTTTATATCGTAAAATATTTATTTTTTAATCCTTTATTTTTTCAAAAAAAATAAAAAAAAAACAAATATTTTTATAAAAGCTAAATAAGAAATTATAATTATAGTTAAAAAAATATTGTTTTTGAAAGTTCTCAAAAATTCTTTTTTATAATTTCCAACAAAACTTATTAGTGCCCTGAATATCCATGTTAAATCATATAGGAATCAGACGAGCAATTTCATGGAAGTTATGGAATTTTAAAGTAGGGAAATAACTTTATAACCACCCTATATATTATGTCTATGGTTTCACCTGACAGATTCGGCCATAGTTGGGCAAGAATGATCCGACTCGCGAGTTATGATTTTTTAGTTTTTCTTACCAATGTACTCTCCATTATATCCCTCTGCATAAAACAAAAAAGATCCAAGTCTTAACTTCAAGTTAATTAAGAAATAGTAGAAATATTTTCTATTAGTTACGCCTTTCTTATCCATTTTCAAAGATTAATCTTGTTGATCTGTTTATAGAAACGAGAAATGGATGCACGCGCAACAAGAAAGTAATAAAACAGGGAGAAAATTAAAGCCCCTCTAATCTCGCTCTCTTTCTAGATGTTAGCTTCACTCAATTAGACGACAGAACAAAGGGCGTTCGGAGTCCATGTATACTATGTCCGTGGGTGAAACTCGTCTGATCGCGCATCTTTCCGCACCGGAAAGAAACAGCAGAAATTTCGCGGGATTTGCAACCAAGTTTTCACTTACTTTTTCAAAGATTAATTTTGCTGATGAATAAGGAAAAGAAAATTGACCTCAAAGAGAAGAAAATTATTTGATCTCTTGAACGATTACGAATAACTTGAATGCTATCTACACTCTTTAAACTATATATATTAAATTTCTATTTTTATTTTTCTCGAAAAGTAGAAGGCGTAGGTACTTGATGCGCGGAGAGATCATTCTCGCATAACTACGGCCAATTAAAGACACAGAAAGAAACGGGGAAACACAACGCGACGATGGTATGATAATAAATCGAGTCTCAAAATATCTTCGTCGTAAAGTCCACCACGAGAGATATACACGAGCTCCCGTCAGAGTAAATAAATCAACGGTGTATCTCGACGGTAAATAAATCAACGGTGTGTCACGAAGGTAAATAAATGAACAGCGTATCTTGTGAAATTGAGACTATGCACGCGCGCGTGTTTCAATTTACGCTGTTTATGCAGGATCCGAGTTTTATTGACATCATAGATATTATAAGGTATCGTGTAGCGGGTAACGTTCCGCGTAATCCGTGGCGAATGTAACAACACGGCCACGATGTGTTTTTCGCGTACTTTCGCCGACCGAGAGAAGAGTCACTCGGTCGCCGGAGCGAGCGAGCAGCAGGAAGCGCGAATAATTTCGCATTCCGACGAGAAGGGCGGCACGCCTCTCTCCATTATTTGATTATATCGCGCGACATCCGTTAATCACTTTCGATGGTAAAAATCAGAGGCCGACGATCCGTCGATACTTTCTACGATACTTCGTCCGATCGACGATCTACGTACTGAGAAAAAAAATACTCGAAACTATTTATTTGTGGGTCATGAGGTTTATTTCAGTAAAATGAAGTTCACTTCTGCGAAATGAAATTTATTTCTATGAATGAAATTCTTTATATCCCACATACAAATAAATTTTCAAGTATTTTCTTTCTGTGCATTTATCGTTGCACCACATACCACACAGAGAGCATAACATTCGGAAAAAACGGAAAACAAAGAGCTGAATTTCGTTGTAATATGGACATCTAAAAGTATAGCTGCCAGTAGACGTATATTTAGCTACATTGCGAAAAGAAATACTTGAAAATTCATTTGTGGGATATAAATTTTACTTCACAGAAATAAATCTTATTTTTACAGAAATAAACTTGTTTATTTCGAAGGTAACTTTAATAATCTTCTTTATTTCAGAGAAAGAAGTTTTTTACAGAGATAAACTTTGTATTCCACAAATAAATTTTCATATTTTATTTTTTTTCTATATGTGAAAGCGACTTAGTACACTGAAAAAGGATTTTGTTGTCAAAACGAGAATTTGGTACCGTAATTTGATTAAAATGGGATCAACCAAAAATGTTTGGCAATCGGAAACTTTAATTGCCGTTACGTGTATTTTGCTTTTTCAATAATACGTGTATTTGTTACAAGTGAAAAACGCCAACCAAATCATACGTACAAAATATTTTAGTTAAAAATATTAAAATAATTCATGTAATACAGAAAAAAACAACTTTATTAGTATAACTGAATTTTCTGTTATCCAGTAACCAGATGAAAAATTCGGTTGCAGGAGCAAAAAGATTCCCGCAGGAGGTTTCAGTCAATTTTCGCTTCAGTTGCCTCAACCGAGTTTTAATGCAGTTGAATGTTCAGAAACAAATGTTTTTACGACAACAGATATATTATTTCTCGTCAGCGAATTTTTTGTTTGCTCCCCATTTAGTTACACGAACTGAAATCTTTTTTCCCGTGTATACAGTATATAGTATACAGTATAGTTGATCCACACATAAATCTAGTTGCGCCAACCGGACTCAACCAACTAGCACAACTAGATTTATGCGTGGCCCAGCCATACTGTTTTCTCCTCTGTACTGAAAAAAATTTCGCTGACGAAACGAAAATTTGATAAAATTTGCCCGAATAAAAATTTGATTAAAATAGGATCAACTAAAAATGTTTGGTATCTGCAACTATCTAAAAAATTTAGTTACGTACGTTTTCTCAATAATACGTATACAAGTAAAAACATAATATTGTTAATCAAGTCGTGTGTACCAAATATCGTGGTTCTAAATAAAAAATAATTGTTCCAATGTAGCAAAAATATTTGTTACAGCAGCACAGTGTAAATTAAGTGCCCACAGACATTTCGCATCTTTCTCAAAACTATTGGAATATTCCAATCAATGATATATTGATTTGAAGCTTATGTCGAACAGATTAAAAATATAAAGTATCGATATTACTCTTACAATCGTTTGAGAGATAAACGGCCCAAAAGGTTGCAATCCCAATAGTATGACTGTTTGTTCAGATCGCAACTTTCTCTAGGCCGTTTGCCTCCCAAACGACTACGAGGATAATATTGAAATTTTATATTCTCAATCTACTCTTCCTAAACTTTAAATCGATATTTCATTTATTGTATAACATTCCAAGTTTTACGAAGTCCCGTGGAAAAGAGAGGAAATTGCACTTTTTTTCGTTAGCGCGACGAATACATTTTCGGCAAACACCATGAGCAGCTGCGGCAGAGAAATCTCTGTTTTCCGTGTACGATTCCGAAGTCGACTAAAGTGGGAAAGGTCGAACGGTGCGCAATGAATCCTCAGCTCGCGCGCACAGGGTGTCAGTCTGATAAACACAATTTGCCTGGCCAATTTCTCCTTCGTGTGATCTCTCCTCGCAGCTTTGCGCGAGAACACGATCGATCGGGATTCACACATTCGCGATCAGCTTCCACCGAGATATTGTCTACGCGGATGGCAGAATATAACGTAGAAGTCAGATCCGATTGCACCTATCGCTGATTTCTCGATTCTCGACGGAAATCCGCGAAATATTCATCGGACGCAAACTCTGCGCGAACGGATGAGCCGCGGTGTTATTCGCGAACAACCGCCGCGCGGCAACGTTCTCAGGTTGAGTCCCGTTCGGATCAGGCGCGATCGCGATCGATCTGCCGACGATGGCGGCCGCAGGTGTTAAGCGGCGTTGATTACGCGAAATAGCCGGCACGAAGCGATCACCGTTACTGGCGAGTCCGCGCGCGCGCGCGAGAGAAAGAGAGGCCCGAGGGCTTCGCCGATCGATCGATCCTTCGGACGTCATCGATCGACGGCGGGGAGATTATCGATACAAGTAGCGAGAGGCCGTGTTATAATCGTTCTCGCATTCAGCCATTCAGCCATTGAGTGTAATGACGACTCATTATCAAATCAACGGTTTCACTTGCGTGTATATTTAGAATGACCGTCGATCGTGATTTTGTCGATGCGTTCATGATAACGGGAGCAGGTTAATAGGTCCTCATTATTATTTTCTGAAGCGCTCGCGAAGGATGAGCAAAATTGTATCGGCTGACTCTAAAATAGACGGGAAGTGGAACAACGCGAGCGCGCCTAATTGTGTTCCGCCTTCGGTATATATATCGTACACTCAGAGAAAAATATATCAATGGCGAGTGTACAGGTGAAGACTAAGGAGTTTTGTGTGCACGGAGAAAAATAATTTGCTGGCCCAGCAAATTTTCTGCTGGCCTAGCAAAATCTTTTCGTTATTATATGGATAGCAAAAAGATTTGCTAAGAGTACTAATCACTATTTGCTGGATATCATTTGTTAAATCTACAAATTATTTTGCTGTAAAAATCATGATGGATTTATATAAGCAATTGCAGTTTTGCTCTGATAGAAAATAAATTTGCTAAGGATACATTATTTTGCATCAATAGCAAATTAACGTGATTCTTAGGAGAAATACACTCAACGAATAATTTCTATCCTGGCAACGAAACTACTTCTGCTCTGATAACGAATAATTTGTAAAATTAGTTACGTCAACTAAATTTTTTTGATGTCACTACGAATATGTAGCAGTAGTGATGATTTTGTTAAAAGAACAAAATTATTTTTCTTTGTGTGTAAATAGAATATACACATACAGTTTTTAATGAATTATTTTGTAATTATCTATACATATAAAATAGAAAACCTGTCTATATGCACGGAAAAAAACGATTTGCTAATATACACGGAGAAAAATAATTTTGCTCTTTTAGCAAAATCGTCGTTGCTACTACATATTCGTAGTGACAGCAAAAAAATTTAGTTGACGTAACTAATTTTACAAATTATTCGTTATCAGAGCAGAAGTACTTTCGTTGCCAGGATAAAAAAAATTGTTTGAGTATTTGTCCTAAGAATCACGTTAATTTGCTACCGATGCAAAATAATCCTTAGCAAATTTATTTGCTATCGGAGCAAAACTGCAACTATTTATATAAATCCATCATGGTTCTTACAGCAAAATAATTTGTAGATTCAGCAAATTATATCCAACAAATAGTGATTAGCAAGTCTTCTTGCTATCCATATAGTAAGGAAAAGATTTTGCTAGATTAGCAGAAAATTTACTGGGCCAGTAAATTATTTTTCTCCGTATATGGACAACTAAAAATATTAGCTGCAGGAGCAAATTTTCTTGCTTTCATAGCAAAGTTATTTAGTTGTGATAGCTAAAAGATTTGCTAATATATATATATAT